GTTTGTTCTTGTAAAACAAACTGATTTTCCGATGATGCGGATCACAGGCGAAACATGTTATAGTGTTATTTCTCTTACAAATTATAAACAATTTATTTCCTGTATGTTGATATATGATGTAATGAATATGCATACACCTGGGTTCACCCTCACAGTAATATGATTGGCCTGTGTCAGCCATAAATACAGACTGATGTGGAGGTACATGGACGACGCCTATTGCCTACGCCTATTGCCTACGCCTTTTGCCTACCACTACGACAAGGACCAGTCCATTACGGTTACCTGCTAGATTCTCCTACCAGGTTACAGTAGCGAACAACCACTGTGCTATTTTGAACAAATATATCCCTTTCCGGGACATATCAATATACATGCAATGATATTAACTCTTACGTCGGCAAAACCGTTTGTTTAGCTTAGCTAATCCTTTGAGAGATTTGTGTACGATGTAAAATTGTTATAATTGAAGCAATTCCATAGGTTCAAACATTTTGCTTGTCATATATACGGAATATTGTGCGAGTATCTATAATTATCGTAAGATTCTCAAAATATGATATTAAAGATTTCTTACTTTGGTGTAGTCACAAGTCTTGATTTAAAATTTTACATAGCTTGAAATTTTCAGTACAGAAATTATTTTATTTGAATAAATAAAAATTTAATTATAAAATCTCCACCCCACTAAATTGCTGACGATAAAGTTTAAAACGCCATTTTGAAAAGATATTGCAAAACAGCTACTTTGAAATTTATGAATTTTTTAAAATTGAGAAGGGAAATAAGTTTTCTCTATTAGGCAATAAAAACTGAGTAATGTAAATTGTAAAAGATTCACTCGTAATTATGAATACTGAAATTCATTTTATGTGATGTTAAAATGTCAGTCGGACATATAAACGATCCTGGTTAACTCTCTCTCTCTCTCTCTCTCTATCTATCTATCTATCTGTCTATCTCTCTCTCTATATATATATATAGCGACATACACAGTTACATAGCAGTACAGATAAATCTCTAAATTTCTCGGAAGGAGACGCATCATTAATATTTTTGTTAGTTTATCATTCATTCCCCAATACAATCGCACAGACTCACAAAAACATATATAAGTAACTAGAAGCGCGCGCGCACACACACACTCACACATATACACAAACCTTTATATATATATATATATATATAGTTACAAAATTCAGTTAATCTGTGACAATGATAAAGATACAGAAACATAACTTAAGATTACTGAATATCCAAGCATAATGTATATATCTAATATTCTTTGAAAATTACAATTTTATTCAAACATATATAATAGGTGTATATTTTTTGATAATCCGATTTAAATATTTTATGAATAGCCCATATACAGATGTTCACAAAGTCTTTAGTTAATTTTAACGTCTAAGTCATTACGAAAAATCTTTGATGTGGTAACTAAATTTTTTGCTGCATATTATTTGTTCTTTTAATGATATTGAGATTTTTATTAATGTTATGTTTTTATGTTTCTGACTGCAGTTAATATTGTTTTGTTTTTCTAGCTCAGATCGGAATTAAAGTATTAAAAATTGAACATAGCTTAGATGTTCTTCATACAAAAATTTACTATTATGTAAACATTTCAACAATATCCAATTTAGTTTGTAATTTCAATTTTCTTTCGTATTTGTCTCTAATAACTGTGGACAGCCTGTACTTTATAATTTACTATACTATAAAGGAAGCACGGTGGAGTAGTGGATAGCGGCACGGATTGAGATTTCGGAGAGCCGCGTTCGAATTCCACTCTAATCCATTATATTCTCTTACATGCTAATCCACTTCATCTCCCTCAATATATGAGTAAATAGCCGGACAGACCGGGTTCTATGGCCTAGGATGGCAAATGGTATATCTCTGAAATCAATGGCAGATTACTGCAGGAAAAAATCTGCCTCGTCAGTCATGTATGAGGCATGGTACATAACTGATACTATAGATGCAAATACGAAACAAGTCTGTAGGATTTTCTTAAATTCAGGATTAATTAAAGGATAATATTTTAATCCATGCTCGCCAATTAAAGACATACAAATACATTTTTATCCAGAGAGTATCATTTTTTATGAGAATATTTTAAAAATAGCTAAACAAGTACATTGGACAGTTGGCAAATTTTGAATTTTATTTTATATCTGCCGTTATTAATAATGAGTTTATTATGCAGGGCAATAAATAATAAACTGATGGTTGTAAATCTACCAGCAGTTGTTAAATATACAATATGAATTTCAGCTTGAAATAGTGTATTTTCCGGCTTACAAGACGCACTATTTTTCTAAAATAATAGGCAGAAAAATACACGTGTGTCTTCCAAGTAAGCTTGGACGGTCACCTAATTGGCTTGACTGATAGGGATGTGGATTTGTATGCTTCGTCATTACACTATAATGTTAGCTATCTATCTAATTCAGCCTTTTATATGATATAACCTCAGTACTTAGCTGTTACAATTATTTCCAAGACTATAAACCTTCCTGGAGCCGAGCCACATGTTCTGTCTACTAACAGCGGAGGGAGCCTTTCTGCCCTTGACTATTATGTTATTGTCATACAAACAAAATCGGACGAGTGATTAATGTAAACAATATGTGGAGCCAGTATGTGAGGGACGCATGGTGAATGTGTTGTTGTATGAGAATGACATTTTTTCTTAGAAATTTCTTTCTAATATTATGTTGCGTCTTCCAATCTGCAGCATATTGTAAGTCGGAAAATACAGTATATTTTACTAGAAATATTTTGCGCATTTTATTTAGTAACCTGAGATTAATTATGCCGTTCGGTATATTTTCTCATTATTATAAACAGATGGATGCAATATTATAATTATTGGTTCTTATTTTTTTTTTTTATTTCAGATGAATCACGATTGCCGTCAATGTATCAAATGAAAAGAGGTGCAAGATATTGCAATGTCACTGAATGATAGAAACGCTTCTTTGAAAATTATATGAAAAGTTTAAGCATAATAGCGACAAGAATAAGAATGAGATAAATATATTGAAATGATAAGAACAAAAAAAAAAAAAAATACTGAAATACTGACTTTACGAATATTTTAAACAAGAGATTAATTTAAAAGGGGACAGATAGCAAGAATATTCTTTTGCGAATGTAGACAGAAAGAAAAGGTGTTGAATGTTAAAACATTGAAAACAAGCAAATTAGCAACTGTATATAAAAATCACAATGAGAACAGTGCATATTTTGCGAATAAATATATGACCGCCATTTATGTTCCATGAGTGATACACGCTTAAACGATCATATATGTTTCGATACTTGATTGACGAGGCAGATCTTTTCATGCAGTAAGTTGTCATTTCTTTCTACAGGATACGAGTTGCTATCCATGGTTATCTGTCTTGCTATTTACCGATAGCTGGGGACAAAAGAAGACGATTCAAACCTTTCCCAATGGTACTAGAACGTAACTGAATGTCATGGACTCGACTGGAATTCGAACTCGGCTCTGCTGATTCTTCAATCCGAGCCGCTATCCATTACTCCACCATGCCTGCTAGGACAAATTGTTTTAATGCAGTTATTTTTAATGACTAAAGTAGAGCTACATTAAATGCCCTCCTTGCTTGTTTCAGGTTTATGTCCTTGGTTGATATATTCAACAAAGACAATATTGCGGAGGAGGTCAATTTATATTTTCGGTTAATGCGTAGAGAGAACATTTATTTGTAATTTGGCGATTATGTGAAAATAAACACCGACACTTATACCCTTGTTCAAATTAATTGAAATAAAACGAATAATTCCGTTATCATTTACTTTCGTTTGGTATTTTTCCAATGAAACATAACACATTGCAGATGCTACTATTTCGGATGTCCATTCTATGAAGTCGTTCCTTGCAGATTAAACACAGATCTTTAGTACTTTGATTTGCTCATTGGTAAGGCTTGACAGTGTGTTCGTGCTGCTTTACAATTTTCGTACGCTTCAGTGGAGTAACGTCCATCGCAGACAATGGCCGTAGGACAACTAATCGACAGTCGAGACAATGGTGCCTAGGTGTGTTAAATATCTGATGCAATCTCGAAAGACGTAATAATATTCAAGATCAAACAAATTGCGTCATATACCCTGAAAATAGATTAATATTACTGCACAGCACTGCAAATGACCTAATCTGAGGAAAAAGTAGAAATCGATTGCACCTTGTCACTCCAATGGGTATAAAACTGACCGTATAGTAAGAGAAAAGAAACTAAATCTGTTGCTTCAATCAATTTGCACAAGCGTGTATGGTATATTTTTCAGCAGTGAAGTTCAAAAGCAACGATCTGTATACTAAAGCAGGTGTTTTGAACCCTTGGTCGCGAGCCACATTCGGCGCGCGGACTATATTTATCCGGCTCATGAGCAACCAGTTTCGAGATCAATGTCTTCCTCAAATTTTAATATGTTTAATATGTTTTGCTTCACCACTGCAGTGGCTAGGTACTGAGCTCCCAAATCTTTGTCAAGGACACCTGGCCCAGTGGATACAGGCATTAGTTGAATCCAGTGACTAACCCGAAAGAGTTGTAAGTTCAGTACAGTGGTGAACCAAAAAACTTGGAGTGTTGAGTTAAAGCAAAAGGACTGGGATATCTTGAAGAGGCATGGCACGTGGATCTAGAACAATCTAGCCCGAGGGATGAAATAAAGTGTTTGGCTTGAAAATCTAATCACCTGAAGAAGACCGAAGCTTACTTTGGTAAAAACGTTGTTAATATGGCAATGAAGATAAAGATAACAGTCCGGATAATATAAATAATGAAATTAATCATAATACCTCATCTCAGAAATATAGACAGAAAACAAAAGTATTTACATCGAGTTTAATTGTACAATGCTGATACTTTCAGAACGAATCTTCAGTAAATGAAAACGTTACAAATATAAACATCGTATTTATTGATCCTATAAATAGTTCCTGAAGATTTTACCAACAAATGTTACAGACTTCCTGCGGAGGAAAAGGCCACTTACGCAGTTCGTTAGTTATAGGTGACGTTGATTTGCAAGCAAGTAAGTTTTTACATGGTCGATTTTCTGACCCCAGAGCCAACAAGTTTGGATTTCAGAGTTTTCCTTCTGTAAAACTGATTGCCAAACACAGACAGAGAGGCCAGCTGGCCTGCTATTAAACGGTAGCTCGGGAAGAAGAAATGAATTCATACATTCTAAGAGTATTTGTGCGAAAACTGAAGCTAGAGTTTGAAATCTATCTATCTATCTATCTATCTATCTATCTATCTATCTATCTGTTTAGGTGACCTGGTGTGTTAGCGAGGATAGCTTTTTTACGATATGTCTATGTATATGTAATCTGTTCCTATCTATCTATCTATCTATCTATCTATCTATCTATTTTTTTCATATCTACCAATCTATCTATGATTAGGCAATTATCTAAGACTAGTTAATATCTATGTATTTATATATCTATCTGGCTGTCTGCCTTTCTATCCAACTAACTATCTAAAACTAGTCAACATCTATCTATCTATCTATCTATCTATTCAACGTCTATCTATCGGTCGATCTATGACAAGATAATTATCAATCTATCTAATAATAGTCAACATCATCTCTATCTTTCTATCTATAATTCAACAATTATCTAAGACTAGTCAATAGCTATCTATCTATCTATCTATACGTATGTGTATACATATATATATATATATATATATTCAGTGCATTTAGAAAAAGTAAAATTGTTCGTTAAAGCAAGTACGATTAAAACCGACAGTCATTTTGCGTTGATTAATTCTAATGATCGACTTTTCCAAATTACGAAAAGATTGGAGAAAATTCCGCGAGGAATTGTCCGAAGACCTGTATGTATGTACGTACGTATGCTTTTATCTGCAAGCATTTCCATGAAAATAAAAGCTTTTCGTTTCTGGAATCAGTTTCTAATTTTCAAGAAAAATATATCTAGGAAGGAATTCATATGAATAATGGAAAAGAGAGAGCGTAAGTTAAAATTTGAACTCATTAGTCTAGACTGAGAAGTAAAAATAAAAATTAATAATTATATAGACATAGGTTGATCTAAGTTCTCCATAAACCATTTATATATTTTTCACACCTCCAATGATCTCTGGGTCTCAATATCAACAATAAAGTCCAGAATATACAAAGATATATTTGTTTTTGTTTCGTTTTTTAAGTTGATATTCCTTCTTTGCTAAGTCAAATAGAATTGTTTTTTTTTGCGGGGGGCGGTTTTTAATTATCTTTATTTTCTAAAAAAGCGTTTATACTCTTTGACCTATTTTCCCTATACTTTTTAGTTCTTCCATCGATTTTGTTAATTATGCGCCCCTGAAGGACATTATTTCACTCTGTTTCGCAGTAGATCTTATTTCCCTACATTACTTAGTTCTGCATGAAGAGAAATTAGTCTCTGACTTCTAATTCTTTTCCATTCCTGTGACCGTTGGTATAATAGTTTCCATTCACGTTCTTTTAAGTTTAACTTCATCGTTTTATTATTTTTCTTCATCATTTTATTCGCTTTATTTTTCTATTGTTATCTTTCATCTTCTTTTCTTTGTCTTCTCATAATTTGCTTTGTTATTTTTCAACTTACTTTGTCACTTCTTTAATTAACTAATTATTCTTATTTTTCATTGTTTTTCCTGCTTTCTCTTCAATTTTTCACTCTTCTTCTTTCCCATACTGATTCATATTTTATCTTTTTCAACTTTTTCTCTCTCAATTTTCTTATCTTTCTTTTCCCTATCATACCACTGATTTTCTTTTCCTCCTTTTAAGTATCACTCATCTTTTCTTTCATTTTCCAGTTTTTTTCTATCTCTTCACTTTTACGTACTTTTTTATTTTTTAAATTCTTCTTTACCTGATTTATTCAAAATACTTTTTGTATCTTTTTTTCTTTTTCTATTCATTTTCTATTTTCTCCTTTTATAATCCTTCCAAAAATCCATCCATCTATCTATCTATCTATCTAGCTAGCTAGCTAGCTAGCTGTGTAGCTGTCTGTCTATCTATCTATCTATTATAGTCGATTCATATCTATCTATCTATCTATCTATTATAGTCGATTCATATCTATCTATCTATCTATCTATTATAGTCGATTCATATCTATCTATCTATCTATTATAGTCGATTCATATCTATCTATCTATCTATCTATCTATTACAGTCGATTCATATCTATCTATCTATCTCGCTGTCTGTTTATATATCTATCTATTACAGTCGATTCATATCTATCTATCTATTTTTCTGAGATTGTTCAAATCTATCTATCTGTCTGTTTATATATCTATCTATTACAGTCGATTCCCTATCTATCTATCTATCTATCTATCTATCTATCTATCTATCTGTCTATCTATTTGGTTCCTTATCCAGTTATCTCATTCAAATGATCACGGATGCTGTGCGTACACCAGGCAATATTCTAACTAACGAACATTTACAAAAAAATAGCAACCTTTTTTTCGAATGTGACATCCATTTTTACTGAATTATTTTTTCATAAAACATCTTTTTGAGATTCCATGTCAAAATATCTCCACTTTACTTTAAAATATTATGAGAGTGTTCTTACTGACTTCGGTAATTTTTCATCTTTTATTTCTTATAATTTATATCTGCTGATATTTTCCTGATCTTTTGCCAGAACAACTATCATAATTTGGAATGCTTAAAGATGGTCCATTTGTTTCTTCTCTTAGTCTCTGTTCCACATTAGTTAAGCTACAAAATGTGCTTGTCATCTCGTTGTAATTGTCTTTCTCTTAAATAGCGAAATAGATTGATCGAAACAGATACTGTAGAAATTCTAATCTCAAGAATTCCTCGATATATTTTACGTTTAAAATTTAAACAAAATTTGATTTTTGTTTCTGATTTGCAACAAATTTGACTTTGTCTAAAGTTTTTCGTGTCATGAGAGTGTTTCCATAAAACTTTTCAGATTCTCTTCCTTTTCTCTAGTTTTATTTTTCGACGTAAGTTACACTTTTATGATTTGCCTATGTCCATGTCGCGTAATCGCGAGAGACAGGGATCGAGAAGTCGGTGAGCACCTCCCGAATTCCATTCGAGATTGTAATATTCACTTTCCATGGGAATGGTATGATAATTTACATGGCAATGGTGATTTTCAAAGCGTATCTTCGATCATTGCTTCTCAACCTTTTTCAGCTCATTTCAGCAATTTTTTTTCTTCAAAAAATTCAAATGGACCACTCCTACTTTTACATTTAGGCTGTTCAATTTTCACAATAAAATACTCAATGAAAAGACAACGTAGTCTATTTAGAATTTAAAATTTATTTTAGTAAACCAGACAGGATATCAAAATCAATGTTGATGAAGTCATTCAGTCTTAGTCCATTCAGCTAGTGAATACATTGATCTTTTTGTCTCTCACACAACATATCAAAATCAATGTTGATGATGTCATTCAGTCTTAGTCCATTCAACTAGTGACTACCTTGATCTTGGTATTTCTCACACAACGATATCATAATCAATTTTGATGATGTCATTCAGTCTTAGTCTGAGAGTTCTTCTGCTGCTGAGATCTAATTTATTTCTTTTTTTACTGAAAACATCCACAACAGCCGAAAATACAGATTCCACCATCCTTGTGGCAGGGAAAGAAATAATACTTGCTTCTACATGTTGAAAAATATTTGGGTGTGAGTCCTTTATCGATATAAAGGCAATGACACCTTCTTTGTCAACTCTTCTTCTCAGTTTCGAATTGTCTTACAAGTCCAGCAACATTTCAGCCAGCTCAAAATTTTCATCTCCTGGCTCATAATTTTCTAGGTCGACAAACAAGAGTGGATAATCCACAATTATTTTATGGCTACTAATTCTCTGTGGACCAATAGAAATGCTATGTGAATCATTGTATCAAACTCACTACTCAGTAGTAATTGTTCTAGCGAGACAACCTTACTAACGATTGCGCCACGCCATGGGAATGGTATAAATACACACCTTATCCCCCAGCAATATATCAAATATCAGGTGAGAATGGACTCTATGGTTGACATTACATTAAAAAACGTATACATCTCTATTGGGACTCATATTTGGTCTGTAGTAAATAAGGTCCTCTGAAAATAGTTGTCGTTTACCGTAATTCTCCATATATTATACGCATTTTTCTAAAAATAATCAGCAAAATTTAGGCTGCTACATAAATATCTTTAAAAAATTGCCGTTTCATAGGTCGATTTTAGTTGCGAAATGACTACTCACCACAAACATACGACAATTTGACACCAACATTCAGCGATTCTAAATCCATAAGCATGTCAAGTACAATCGTATGTAACAATATTTACAAATGTAAAATAAAATAAGAATTATCATAAAACTGAATTAGAATAAAATTATTCTATCTTTAAAACCATTTCTTTTTTATAAGTGTAGGAAACGCAATTTATAGTGTTTGATTGCCCAAAAAGGGGTGCGTATTATGGATATGGACGAAGGTGTAATATACATGAGGAATTACGGTAATCCCGATGTTGGTTCTGTGGGTGTTGAGAAGCATAAACGTGCCTAAGTAGATGGGCTAGGGTTAAGAAATGACCAACTATGCTGAAGATGTTAAAGAAAGCCCTTCTGATTATCTGCCTTGTCCAAAACAAAATTATCTTTATATTATGATTCACAATTACAATCTGCCTGTATAGATTTGCCGAATCATCGAAGAATTGATTTTAGCAATTAAAATATTCTCCTTTTATTTGTTGTTTTTCTTCTTACTCTGACAATTTGGTTTTAGTATAATCTGAAAATAGATATTTCTGTCGAATGATCACAAATCATAACGCTCATATGGACATGTTACTTATTAGAAAACTGACGCATCAATTCTGATCCTTATTTACCCTAAATGTTATGGTCATCAAAGTCATTGAGAAGAAATACATTTTAAATGTTAATAAAAATCATTGATGCGACTATAGTATGATATCTACCGTTTATTTTCTACTATATTATGATATCTACCAGGAGGCACAGTGAAGTAATAGATAGCGGCTCGGATTGAAGAATCGTAAGGCCGAGTTCGAATTGTAGTCGAATCCATTACATTCACTTACGCTACGTGCTTGTAGAGGGCCGTGTAGGTTAAGTGTTGTTAGATTAGAAACACGTGCGTTTATTTCCGGCTAGAAGAAGATCCACCTACAAGAAGAAATTGGACTGAAGTTAAGTCCAACCGAAGATGTAAAGAAAACAAACAAGACCGATATATATATATATATATATATATATATATATATATATATATATATATATATATATATATATATATATATCAATAAATATATGTATTAAACAACAAATTTACAAGTGACAAAGACATTAACATTTTCTATTTGTGTGTGAACGTAAAAGGTTTGTATTTTGGTGAATGTTCTTACGTACGTGCATGTGTGTTTAATGGCGTTTTCCCACAAGTGGGAAGACGCTATCTTTTGAGAGAGCTTACATTGTAGATGGGTTGCTGAAATGAAGAAATGAAAAATAGAACGTGGCAAGAAGCCGGCCACTATTTATGGTGTAGGGAGAGCGTCCTCTAGTGAACAATTAGGGAAATAAAGATGAGGTAACTCCGACATGCTAATACCTCTGAATCTTCTTCTCCCTCCAGCTACAGGTATGTAACAGGACAGATCATATCCTATAGATTTGGATGGCAACTGGTTTACCGCAGAAAGTAAGGGCAACTTACTAGGGAAAAAAATCTACCTCGTCAGTCATGTATCGAAAGATACATGATCGCCTAAGCGTGTATTCAACATGGCTCATAACTGAATAATATCTACTACTCATTTAAACAACTAATATTTACCAAGTCTTGTAAGTATGAAATATGTTAGGGTTAGGAGATAGGATTAGGATTAGTGTTTAGCTTTAAAGTTAGGGTTAAAAGCAACGAGCATTAAACTGGTCATATATTAAAAAATCATAAACAATTTTTTTACATGAAATCATCAGATAGTAATATTAATGGGTGTAAACTAATTTGACGTCATTTAAAAAAATCAGTAAACAGATCATCATTTTTCTTGAGAATTTTCCAGAAATAATGAGGGTATCGTCATTTATATTAGGTCGCAAATACCTCGAGAGATATCATACTCGAGAATCACCTAATCATTGATTAAATTTTGGTCGTATCAAAAGTATTAACTAAAAAATAGTATATAGGAATATAAATTGTAACTAAATGTTAGCTGGAATCAAGAAGTTTGACGAACAAGTAATCGGACTACAGGTTATCTTCTTACACAATTAAAATGTTCAAACGAAGAAATATTTTCTGTCTATATCTCTGAAATGAGGCATTATGATTACTTGCATTATTTACATTATTCAGACTGTTATCCTCATTTTCATTGCCATATTCACAACGTTTCGACCGTTGTCCGCTCCGGCCTTTATGTCTGCGTCTTTCTATATATCTGTCTATATCACTGAGATAAGGTATTATGATTACTTGCATTATTTATATTATTTCGCCTGTTATCCTCATTTTCATTGCACTGTTGACAACGTTTCGGCCGTTATACGCTCCGCCCTTCTTCAAGTGACTGATATATCTCATCTCAAAGATATAGAGGGCGAAACGTTGTAAATACGGCATTGAAGATAAGGATAACAGTCCTAATAATTTAAATAATGCAAGTAATCATAATTCCTCATCTCAGAGATATCGGCACATATTGAAGGCCGGAGCGTACGACGGCCGAAACGTTGTGAATATAGTAATGAAGATGAGGATAACAGTCCGAATAATGTAAATAATGGAAGTAATCATAATACTTTTACTTTATCTCAGAGATATAGACAGATATATAGAAAGACACAGACATAAAGGCCGGAGCGTACAACGGTCGAAACATTGTGAATATGGCAATGAAAATGAGGATAACAGTTCGAATAATGTAAATAATGCAAGTAATCATAATACCTCATCTCAGAGATATAGACAGATATATAGAAAGACACAGACGTAAAGGCCGGGGCGTACAACGTCTATGTCTTTCTATATATCTGTCTATAGCTCTGAGACGAGGTATTATGATTACTTACATTATTTACTTTATTCAGACAGTTATCCTAATTTTCATTTTCGTTTCGGCCGTTGTACGCTCCGGTCTTTATGTTTATGTCTCTCTATATATCTAATATGCAATGATTATGATGGCACATGGAACTATATTATGACATATGGAACAAGTACAATTTACCTCGGTGGACGAAGTGAAGGGTTTGTGTTTGAAATTCCAATCACCTGAATAAGGCCGGAGCATACACCGTCCAAAACGCTGTGAATATGGCAGTGAAGATGAGAATAACTGCAAGTGAAGATATATTGGTCGTTTAGTGG